TAAGAAAATGTGGATTATTTTATAAGTAATTAATTCAAACTTCATGAATCTGTAAAAGAAAATTTTGGTTTTTATATTGGCAACATCAATTTTTACGAAAGACTGTAAAATATTATGATTATGATAATCAAGCAAAGATTTTACAGAACTGTGAACTTTCCCAGTCTTTCTTGAAAAAATTAGGGCATTCCGTCAGTGATTTTACAGAAAAATGAAATTGCAGACTCTCAATTTGCATTTATCGTTAAAAATGATATTTACAAGATCTTGTTATTTTAAAAAAGTATTTAGATTAAAATTCTATATTCCCCCCATCCTTTCTTTTACTACTTCTGTAATTTTTTCTTCTAAAAAGGTTTTTTCTCTTTGAAGGGGAGAAATATATAAGGCAAAAAAATATGTAAATGAAAATTATAATTTAAACTAACGACAAACCTTTAATTCCCCCTCTCTGTTTTAAAAATTGTAATAACTTCTCTGGATTGCGTCATTTCTAGATTATTCCATTCTGCATGGCCCGTGCAGCGCTGATGACGTAATAAATGGAAACTGAAACTTTTAACCCAAACCAAAACTTTTTCCTCTTCGGGTGCTTCCATATTGGATAACTACGTACTTTAGCTTCTGTCTGTGCAGTGCTTGTACGCAATTTCTCTGGGCTCGGTTCTATCGCAGTAATATAAAAAATGTTAATATTCTTGAATAGGCACGACTAGAGTGCCAAGCGAACTGATTGTTCTTACCGCTTCCCCTAAGATCTACAAAATTATGAAATGTATAAATTTCATTTAAATAAACGTCAGGAACACAGAATACCATACTTACTCGCATAGTTTAAATCAGAAGTTTCTGTATCACATGCTAAAAAAACTACAGATAACATCACTCGAGGGAAAAATATGCCTGCAAATACGGTAATTATTACTACATTAATAAATTTGATTTAACGAAGGAAAGTGATCCTCCAATGATTATGGAAACATTTGTTTGTACAATCACAAATACTGTTATAATAGTGAATTGATAAAAAGGATTCCATTAATTTAGTTTAACTATTATGCTTTTACATATTTGAACATCACTGCGATATAATTATTATAATAATTATCTGGAAATTTTTAGGGTGTCTTCCTGTTCCCGCGGTTGTCAAAAACATTCCAGTTTCCGCAAAATCATCAATCTTCATTATCCCCTTTTCAAAGGGGTTACATAATGAGGGGCCGAGTGGACCTTGGTCTCTCCCAAATTTTGACTTAAGAAAAAAAAAAAAAAAAGTTTTTAAAAGAAATAATCGGAAAATATTTACGATCTCGGATCTTTGTATGAATGAAGCTAATACTGTTATTTAAAAGGAGAGAGAGAGAGAGAGATGTCCAAACTCTGCTGTGATTTCGGCAATGAACTAAAAGATCGTTTCCTAAATTGCTTCCAAAATTCTGCATAAAGGTGAGTTATAATAAAATCTTTCAAAATAAATATTCGTTCTAAAACGAAGTTCTAAAATGACTTTTCTTCTTAAACGACTTCTGCTTTGGTCTCAATTGCAATTTTGCAGCTTTTAATTCTTTCATTTATGCAAATCCAATAAGCTACATTTTCATCAAATCTGTTCCGAATTCGGTATTGATAACCTTTATAAAAGGCTAAAGTTTTTTTTCCCTTTTAGTTTCAATAATGTCTAAAACATCCATATTGTTTAACATAAGATGTGAAAATAGCAGCTAATATTGCAGCAGAATTACAAATAGAATGAAACTAAAGATTTCGAGAGGAGTCTAAACTAAAATGCGTCTTCAATCTAACAAAGACTAACTTATTCACAAAGGAACTGCCCAACTCTAAATGATTCATCGTGACATCTCCTGAGGAGGTGTGGTAGGGGGACTGTACTCTCCGATTTCGCGGGAACAGGAAGATTTTTGAAAAACACGGGGAAAGAGGTGTGTGTGTGTGTGTGTGTGTGATTATGGCAAAGCCTCGAGGGCTATCTGCCTAAGGGGAGGGATGCCTTCGTGGAGGACTTTCTAAGGGAAACTGGCTCGTATACACGTTACACATGGGGAAAACCACGAAAACACCCATGCAGCCAGCCCGTTCGCGGGATTCGAACCTCGGACCGAACTACCAGTGTTCAGCGACTTTTACCGCTCGGCCGCTGGTGGGCCCGGGGAAAGCGGAATCGCGAAAACAGAACTAATTCATTTTTAGGTCTCCTAATTTTATTTTATGGGCTTTTCTATATGTGAACGGGTTATATCACGTTATCACGCGGGGTTCTATCAAAGAGTTTTTGTCACATAAGCCTCTTAATGGCCGCTGGTTATTCATTGTTTAGGTTGCTACAGGCGATTGAACCGTTCAGTTTCATCATTGCAAGCGCGCTGTCACTCTCTTTGTATTCGACACAAGTCAAGTTTATTTCTCGCTCTCCCGTCAATGAGCGAAAGAGGAAATTATAGAAGAGAGAGAGTCTTCTTTAATTGTTTTATCCCCTTCCGAAACTATGGAAAGAAAGAGAAGGTAAATTGCATCGTATCAATGGGCAGAGTCTATCTATATTGTGTGTTGTAAAGCAAATGTCACTGAAGTATTATGTACTTACTCTTGGAAAATAGAGTAATAGAATGGGTGATGTCCATTTTTGTTCGGTGGAAGTTGAGCCGAAAAGGAAAATTAGACTTTTAGAAGAAAATTCTCACACTTAAGGAAACGAGTGCAAGTAACCGGATATCTTGCAACTTTGGCCAGGAGTTTAACAGTTTTCCTTTTTTCCAACTTACCCCATACACACAAACTGTCCCAGAATATCTTTATTTCCTTAGTTTGATTTCACATTTGGCGATAAACTGCTAAACTTAGCGTATTAATGGACAGCACTTTTTCTTCGATAGAGCAGTCGAACAATGGTAACATAGAATTCATATGAATTTGATCATGTTTTAAAATAAATTGCAGTTTAAAATTAAAATAAAGAAAAAGTCCTTAGTTTTGCTGTACTAGTTCAAGCACGAAATTACCCGACAATAGTGAAATAGTGAAATAAAATTTATATGGATTTTCAGATTCATTAAAAATAAACTGTAATTTAAACTTAAATGGAAAACAAAATCTTTTCCACAGATTCATCTAAAACTTGGCTAATCGGTTCCACTATTATACCATACTATTTGACATCGGACTAGCTGAAAAACTAAATGCTAACAAAAAGTAATCATAGGTTCCAAACAAAATTTTTTTTCTTTCCGTTTTGCAGCGAATAAAATGCAATTTACAAATTCAAATGTCTTTATTGAGAATATTTTTTTTAATGCATATTATCGTAATTCACTTTTCATTGTCTAAAAATTTAAATATTGAAGTCTGAAGATGTTTCCTTGGCCTTTTCACTACAGATATTTCCCTATATAACAACAAATTGTACCATTTACAGTTCGACGAAATATAAAGGTACGTTCAGCTTTGAAATCCCATTTCAACTGCTGTCTAGCAACAGCTGTCAGAGTACAAAGGCCTAAGCGCAGACACATACATAAAACGGGGAACCTCAATGAAAACTGTGTATCATGAAACATTAAAATCTTGACTTGATTATATAATGAAAAAAAAATCGATCACTTATTCATCAAAAATAATTTTGCGTAATATTTTCTTAAAATTTAATTATATTTTACTTAATTTAATTTGTTTTTTAATTTTTATTCGGACTTCTATTAATAAGCTTTTATATGGCAGCGTGCATTTGGCCGTTCTACATTTAATTTATATAGACCTTTATTATCACTCTTACCTAAGAATTCGCTACGTATCCCATCTTATATTATAGAAGGTTTTCCTTGAGTAATCTGCAGAACTTTTAATTCCTTTATTGAAATTGTATACAACTTGGTGACGAATATAGCGAGCAACAAGATCAAGAGAGCTTTCGTGTATGTATACACACAAAAAATATAATTCCACTATTTCCAGTATTCATATTTTAAAAATGATTATACGAGAGCGAATACTTTTAAAGGGGATTGAAGAAGAAAAGGAGCTTGAAGATAGAGTATTTCACACTCAAACTATTATTTAAAATTTTAAAATGGTCAATCATTCGATGAAAGCACGATTTTTTTTTTTTTTTTTTTTTCCAACCTAGAGCGTATTGACAGAGTCGCGTAGCTTTAGCTAATGTCTAACAGAGAAGTAATTCCTGAGGTGGGAAATGAGTTTATAATCCATCGTATTAATTTCAATGTACTTAACGTAGCTCGGGATACCTATTTTAGATTTTTCACCTTAACAGCATATATCAGATATGGCCAAATTTTGTGTAAGTAACAGCCGCAATTTAGAATTCAGAAATATTTAAGAGTCGAAGTTATGTGTTTCATGTATTTAAAAATGACATAGTTTTTAAATACTCACAAGTACTATTAGTTACTTTTAGTTTTAATCAAGTTAATTGTTCCAGCTTATTTCAGTAATTTAAAGTTGATAAATGAAACAGAAATTAAATTTAAAGTTTCCGTTTTTCATTATCGTTCTTAACATTTTTTATGGTATTTGAATGGTAATTAAGATGTAAAAGAAAAATATCGATTATTTTTTATACAAAATGTATTCAAACCCCTGCTACTGATATTGAAAAAGTATGCACAAAAAAGCGCAGTTTTCATCTATTGACAGTATATTATGTTAAAGGTCGAAACACAGCTTTAAAAACAAATAAATGCACAGGTCAGTTGAGAAAATTTGCTGATTACTATTTCATTAAAATCGATACGTACATATGTTGTAATATACACGTTTAATTAACAGTAATGTTACTAATTGCTTTTAGCTTTTATTGCCCATCGGTTACTTTAAAATGTTAACCACTCTATAATTTGCCCCTACCCTACTGTATTATTTCGGATAAACGTGGTTCTACTTTAGTTATACTTTAATCTTAAATTCGCTTTCTTTCAGAAAATATATAAATGACGCTTTGTTAAAAACAGAAAAGTAAAGTAACTTACCTAGTCTACTGTTTCTGTTTTCCTTTTAAAGATGTTCTCTTCCTGACGAAGACCTTTTTCCTACCAATTCCTTTAGGGAAAAAGGAGCTCTTATCTGGAGGTCGGATCGCAATCAGAACAGGACTGAGTGGAATGACTATTCGAAAATTAGAGCTCTCACCCGAACTCCTAAACAGCAGAAAAATTCCTTCTGTTTTTAGAAATTCGTTTTTGACAAGAAATCATGTAGTTCTCCATAACGATATATGGCTTCTTTACATTCCAACACCCCTGAGTGAAATTGTTGCCCTCGCCCAACAAGGTACGTCTAAATTGCCTGAAATGGTCCAAGTAAAATGGGAATTAGAATATTTTTGCTGTGAAATAAAAGATAAAATAATCTGCTCGATATGTAATAATACTATTAATGTACCAAAGTTATATAATATTAAACGTCATTACGAACAACACAAATCGAAATATAACAATTACGAAGGATTAATGAGAGAAGAAAAGTTGAAAGAGCTCAAGTTAGGAGTGAAAAAGCAACAGTCCATGTTTAGTAAAGTATTGCAAGAAAGTGAAGCGGCGGTACATGCAAGCTACGTCTTGTCCGAGTTGATAGCTAAACATTCGAAGCCTTTTACTGAAGGTGATTTCATCAAGGAATGCCTAATGAAAGCTGGAGAAATTGTTTCTCCTGGAAATGTGAAGGCTTTTCAATCAATTTCATTGTCCCGAAATACAGATGCGAAAAGAGTTACTGATTTAGTCGCGAATATTCTAATTAGCAAATTTAGCAAAAATATTCTAATTCCCATTATTCTATGTTCGTCAGCGATTTTTCGTTTAATTTTACTACCACTTTTTGATATAGACATACTGAATACAAAGGGCTGGAATAAACACGATTAACGTTAAAAAGTTAACAAAAATTTATTCTTTCCACAAGAGATAAATCAAAATGCTGAAATATTTCTTCAAAAATATTCTAAAAATATTTTTGAAGAATATTCTAAAAAAATATTCTAAAAATGTCAAACGTTTAGCAAAAATCAATTCAAAACAGAGAAACTAATTCTATCTCACAGCGAAATCGCTACAAATCAATCATAGCATTAAGTAAACAAACAGTTCGCTAGAACTACAGCTACTACTGAGATGAGTTGTTTGTTCTCGGCTTTTATAAGCTTTATAATTAATTTCTCGAATATACTGGAAACATCTATAAATATCGGATTTTTGTGGATGGCAACAGCAATTACGAGATATTTATTTATTAGGTATTAAAATGCACGCGCTGTTCTATTTTAACCTTCCAACGCAGCTGTCTTTTCAAAATTCGTCTGCGTTGCTAAGACAACATGAAGCAAATCTAATTACAATTCTAAATAAAAAAAATAATAATAATAAAAATAAATAAATAAATAAATAAAAAAAATAAAAAAAATAAATAAATAAATAACTATGAAATCCGTAACAATATGAATTAAGTAATAATTAATAATAAAGCAAAGTGCATGCACCAATATATCGTAGAAAACTATGATTGGAAAACTGAGACCATGAGATCGGCCACATTCGGCTATCGGGGGATGCGTACAAGTCAAGCCATTGATGTTTACGTTTGAAACAGGAGACTAATGGATTTGTTGCCAATCTAGAGAAACTTAGTTTCGCAACAACAAAGATAACGCATTCATTTATTATTGCCAATTAAATCATGCCTAATTCTTTCTGGAATTTTTTCGAGGAAATAAGTGTTTTAGATTTACTTCGTAATTTTAGCAGCATAGATATTTTGAGTTTTTTCAGTATTTTTGCCTTCTCGGACAGAGAAGAACTGAATTAAAAGTAGGGCATGAGCATTAGGTAAGAGGCGCTGAACCGTCTGTGAAAAACTGTTTCTTTTTTGTTTTATTTGCTTAATTTCTTTTATACACCATTTCTAGATTTATTATAGTATTTGAATAGAACATGTGGCAACGATTAGATAATTCTATTCTTTAAATGATATAAATTTTGTGCATTATGAGTTATAATATGAACGAAAATATATAAGTAATTGTTATATAATTATTGGATTATATAACAGTTAACTTAGTTTCCGTTATATAATTATTATATAAATTAACTGTTATATAATTATTAATACTGTTAAGTGAATCTAGCGCCAGAGTGTCGCTATGGTAAACAAATACTAGAGTGAATTTTAAAGAATGCATTTATTCTATTGTGGTTTATGCGTTCTCGGCGAAGTAGATTTAATTCAATCGAATAAGTTTAAATGAAATGTAAGAAAAAATGTGTATAATTTAATATTTCGTACAAGGAAGTCATGTGGTGTACACATCAGATTTTTACGTTATATGTTCGCAGAGCTTTGGTTCATCTGTATAATGTTTGTCTTATAAAAATAAAATAAATAAATAAATTAAAGAACTGGAAATAAAAAAAAAATTTTTTTTTTTAAGTTTACCATTGGAAATAAAAAGAACTTTTAAACTCTGACGGACCCTATATATAGGTAGATAGATATAGACATATATATACATAATTATTAATAAAACTGATGTAGTTGATGTCAGAGAAGCGTTCTTCGGGGCCCCTTTGCAGTGCAGGCCAGTTATATGGCTTTTCGCCCAGTTTTCCTCCCCCCCCTTATCATTTGCCACGGAATGTCTTTTACCCAGCGTCCTCCTAATTTCAACATCAAATTTCAGACATACATCCCCTAATTTTCTCTCAGTTATCATTAAAAATAACTCAAATTAAAATGAATTTTTGAATAATTTTTGTGTGTTTCATAAAGATTGCTAAGAATATATTATTAGGTATCGCGCAAATGAATATTCTGTACCCTGATACATAATATATGGTGTTAGAAACATCTTTAATTAATTAAAATTAGTCCAAAAAAGCAAAAGTATTTCAGAAGAAGGAATATTATAAATAAAGCATAATTTTATTTCTAAGTTTCATTATATTTCTTTAATGAAAATATCTGGAATCATTTAATAAATGATGTAGTTGGAACTATAATAATCACGGTATTATACCAAGCTTAAAAAAAAACGCTGCTGGGCCTCTTTTGAAACGTATTATTCATTGATTAACCTTTAAAGCAAGACCAAACAGAAAATTAATCAGGCTTTAAGGTATTTCTCCCTCCTCCTAGCGTGCCTTCGTGGTGTAATGGTCACACACTGAGCCGGTATTTCTGAGGTCCGTGGTTCCATTCCCGGCGAAGTCGACTGCTAATTTTTCATCTTGCCAGCTTCCAAAAATCCTAGTGTTCTACAAGCCATCACATTTTTAAACATTCATCTCTATAACAGAATATGTTAAGTTTTTACAAACGAGTTAAACAAGCATCCTCTAGCCTATTATTATTTAGTGAAGTCGTTAAAATGTTTAAATAGGTAAGAAGGTATCAAATAAATTTTAGGTGAAGGAGTGAGTATCAGAAGCAGAGAGAGAATCATCAAAGGAAGGTTGAAATATCAATGGAGGAAGGAATTTGTGGGTGAAACGTCACTGGGCGAAAAAGCTATGCTTCCACGGGCGGTGGATATCCACGCTTTACCAAGTATGGAGAATTTCACTTCGCGTATGGTAACTTTGGCCAAGTTTTCGGTTGACAGATATTCTTCTTTTCGTGCGCTTTATTTCAATAATGCCGACTTCTTAAACGGTCAGCTGTGAAAACGCAATCGATGAATCTCTCCTATCTATAAAGAGCTCACAAGTGTCTGAGTGTTACAATGACACGTTAAGAAATGAAACACAAATACGCTGAAAAAAAGAAAAACCTCATTTTAAAAGGAGGTGTGTATATTTAATTATGGCAAAGCACGCTAGGGCTATCTGCCTAAGGGAAGGGATGCCTTCGTGGAGGACTTTCTAAGGGAAACTGTCTCGTATACACGTTACACATGGGGAAAACCACGAAACCACCCATGCAGCCAGCCCGTTCGCGGGATTCGAACCTCGGATCGAACTACCAGTGTTCAGCGACTTTACCGCTCGGCCGCTGGTGGGCTATTTTAAAAGAAGGAAAAAAAGTTTCAAAGAAAGAATACTATGACATCTTGCATATATTTCTTGACAGAGGTACCAAATTTGATTTAAAATAATAATAACTCTTAAATAAATGTAATGTTCTTCTTTACTTAGCTCGAAAATATTGTTTCTATTGCATTATTGTTAAGAACTAGCCTTTAAAATAAGATTAATTAACTAATGCATTCTTTAATTCTATCAACTTGTATTTGCAACGGATAGCATTTATGTTTTCTGATATAATTTTTGCCGAAATGGCCAACATTGTTACTTTAAAAAAGTGAAGATACTCTAAATAAGTTTCTTAGCATTATTTTTGGCCTTTTATATGATTTATTGCAAAACTTGACGTGATATTAAATTATATACGTTGATAACAATCAAATGCTCTTCTTTTCGTTAAGGTTTTTATCATGGTGAGCATTCATTTATCAGAGCGGCTTTTATTAATGTAGGCATTTATTACTTTGGCCTTTAATAATATAAAACTTTTATCTGTGTGAGCCTTTTATACTTGTCGATATTTATCGTGTAGGTCAATCATAACTGTGGATTCTTTTTCGGATGAGGCTCCGTCCAGTGGCTTTTGTCAGGTAAGCCTTAGATAAATATAAGAAGAAGAAGAATATACAGACTTAGAAGACTTAGATTATTATTAGACTTAGATTTCTCCAGTTTCTTTAAAGTATAAAAACACTTTTTTTAAGACATTCATTCCTCTTTAGTAAAAATATTCATTTCTTTCATCAATAATTAAAAAAAAAAAAACTTATGGATATTTTCTCCATATAAATGGTTAATCTTTACAAACTACTAATTTATCTAACTGAATTCAATTTTTAACCCTTAGAAAATAACTTTTACTAAATCTGTCTTTAAAAAACCTTCGTATACATTAAAACTCGGAGTCTTTTTTTTATTTAAACTATACAGTATAATTAATTGCATCATCAATATATAACGTGTGTAATTTTTCCTTTTAATATTTATGCTTCTCTATACTGGTGAGATGAATCACAACTCTTTACGTTATTACTTTTGGAATTTATGCAAATAGCATTTGAAAATTAGGTAGTAATAAGCTAATCACATGGATATAAGCCACATAATTTGTGCTTCGTAATTCAGAGTCTCTTTGAAAGAGATAGAATATCTGAAATTTTATAAAACTCTTTTAACTTAGAAAATATTTGAATTTTTGGCTTTTTTTTTTTTTTTTTTTTTTTTTTTTAAGAATGCACAACTATTAACTCCAAAGTATGCCCTCACCCCTTT